AGGGGAGGGGGGGGGGTCTATGACCTCCCCTTGTTCCCCAAAGATGTCATATCCTAACCATATCTACTCATTATATATATTCAAAATAGCCTATATTCAAACATCACTTAGAAATAAATAAGATAAATCATCAAAGATGTTGAAATGAGAAAATGATTGTTTATTTAAAAGTGTAAATATAATATATGCAGCAAACTTCCTACGATGTTCAAATGTAACAGTATTATCCATTCGCCCTCCCGCACCGTGACCGTGTCCTGTTGAAGACTGTTCTGGCCCAGAGGTTGACGTGTGCTATGTCCCACAGTCATAACAAATATATTAGGGCTATAAAATTTATCCTCCTAAAGAGCACGAAAAGTAAATATATATTCTTGAAACTGTTTACACAAAACCGTCAAGAAAGAAGTGGAGTGAAAAAAATACTTACTAGTATCCGTGCCAAGCTGCGCCGGCCGCGTCATCGAGCCAAAAACACTTTAAGTTACAACTCCTTTGCTTCCTTCCTTCCCTGCTAGCAGAGCCTATTTTCCTCTTGTTTTGGTGGAGTGAGAAAAATAGACTCTGCCGATGTAGGACGTTATACTTCTCTTTCCTACTCACCGATCCCCCTTCCCCCTCCCCAAAGCGCCGCTACGCAGGCTTCGTGTTTTAATACGATAACTAATAAAAACCAATTAAAATAAGTTGAATTAGAATTAATATAAAATTAGTTGATTTCGTAAGTCACTCGTTTTCCACTCATATGACAATTCCTTTTGGAATGCCTGCCATTTCAATGTTATTGCATGTCGTATCGACACGTGCTGTAAGTCAGTACCGTTCGTTTCCCACTCATACGACAACCATTCTTTTAAGAAACCATGGGAAACCATTTCAATGTTGCGGCATGTGGCGTATCGAAAAGCGCTGTAAGTCAGTACCATGGGAAACCATTTCAATGTGATGGCATTTGGTGCTGTGCACGTGTTGTAAGTCAGTACCGTATTTTCCTACTCGTACGATAACCATTCTTCCATTTCAATGTCACTATATATTGCATATATTTTTATTTATTTTTTGTTTTACTTTTACTTTTACATACTATCTATGGCAACTTTGCTTCACGGTTAAAATTCCTCTAATTTGACTACGATGATGGCTTAGCTCACTAAGTAATTAAAAGATAGAAAGATAAATTAGCCATTTAGTGTCCTAGAGGTCCAGCCGTCCCCACGTGGTCCAAAAGGATACGTGGAACTTAGTAATAACAAGAGCAAAACTTAACCAATCATGATGAGAAACGAGATCACGTGTGACTACTCTAGCTGCCGCGTGATTTAACAATGCGGTACAACAGATATAAAGAGTAGACAGTTTTCTACCGTTAATCACCAGTCATCCCCGATAGACACCACAAGAGCAGCCATGGCGAAAATAGCTACTACATTGATGGTATTCTTTCTTTGCTTTTTGACGGTGACAGGTTAGTTTAATTACAATTATCATAATATATCAATTGCTATTGCCCAGCAGAAGTGTAAAACAAAATGTATATATATATACACGTTATGATTCGGCATAATTGTACGAGCAGTTCAGGGGATTTTTTTGGGGGGAAAACGTTTTTTATATCATTTATAACTTATCAAAGATGCAAAACCCCTTCGTTTGAACGAATAGCATTAAGCTTTGTTATAAAACATTGTATTTTACTATTTTATCATGTTCGTTCCATGATGGAATTGGAATATAGGAGTTGATTTTTGAGGGAGGAAAACC